GTAGATGTTTCATTATTATGTTTAACATGAGTCTTAGAAATATTTTCTTCTATATCATTTATTGATTTATTTCTAGCATCCGATGTCGAGGTAGATGTTTCACAGGTTCCACTATTACTTTTAAAATATTTGTTCATCATTTTTGCATTTTTTTTCTAATTCTAATTGAGCTTGAGCTCTACGCTTTCGATATTGGGCTCCTGAAGGTTTATCTTTTTTTTGGCGGCATGGTATCAATTATTTTACCTACAATTATTTATTTATTTATATTTGCATATTTAGGTTAAAAAAAATAATATTTTATGATAAAATGAAAAAGAAGAGAAGACTTATTTGAATTATCGTGTGTAATATGAAATTCAATAATTTCAATTTAATTCAATAATTAAAATATTATAGGTATGTTTTATTATAAATAATCAATAGATCGCACGAATTATTGTGCAATTGCAATCATTACATACTCTATAATATTATAGTATATAGCCACAACGTCGTAGCCGAATGTATTATATTATAGGCTGCTGTCGAATTGTAAGACGAAAATAATATTATAATATTATATTAAATTTATAGATACTGGGAAAACGTGTTTAAGTATTTTCATAATAATAAATATGTGAATGTGCGATTCATCACGTTATATCGACCGTTGCGCCATATATTAATTATTATATATTATCATCATAATATATTATATTATATCATAGTATATTCATTAACATAAAATATCAAATCAAATATAAATATATAATATTATTTCACGCCACTACTGTTTATAATATAGGAATACTGTGTTTCGCTACTTATTTATTAAAACAACCAGCGAACGGAATTTATTTTAAAAAAGAAACCAAAATATTATGTAAAAATGTACTAAACAAAATATATGAGTATTAATTACCTGTTGGCTGTTGGCAGTTACTTGTTAGTTTATAATATTTGACAGCAGACCATACGAAGCGAGAGCTTATCGAAAACAATAAATAATTGTGTTTTGTGTGTGTAGACGTGTAGTGTACTAGTGTGTGTCAGGCAATTGTGTCTTTTGGTTTACTCTACACTGCGGTATTTTCGCCGTAAGGTCCGAATGGGTTTTATCATCGCGGTTTTTCTAACGAATCGTTATCGTCTAGACGTCTAGTTATATGAATTTATTTATAAATGGGTAAATATTATAATATAAAAATAATTATTACGACCAACTATATATTTTATTGACACATAAATATGCGGTGGTATGCTTCCATAGTTCCATGGATTGGTGCATTATTTTTAGTTTTTACATCAAAACCAGCGGTATCGATGCACATGCACTGTTACATTCTTATATTCTACAAATATGACTAAAATGAGATAATTGCAGATGCATCTTCTGATCTTCAACTAAAATGACATTAGATAATGAAAATGAATATTTCAAATTGTATAGATTGTTAATGCCTTTTAAAAGTTAAATTAAATAAAAATAATTTTCAGTTTGGCGCCCCTTCCGTGCTGGCGCCCTGGGCAGTCGCCCAGGTCGCCCATAGCTTTCGCCGGCCCTGACTTTGAACACATTTAAGGAGAAGTTATTTAATTGTTAGTATGTAACTAGTAATTAACTAGGTAAAACAAATGTTTAATAAATAGTTTATTATAAATAATTAATAAATAATAAGTATGTAATGTTAAATTTGTACGATGTTGGTGTACCAATAATAAATATTAATTAGCTTAATAAAGTAAATTCCTTAGTGTGATATAAATTTAGTTAAATGATTAAATTAATACAAAAAAAATTTTTTTAATTGTTTAGGACGTTTAGGTAAACATAAAATTATATTTACGATACGATATCGATATCGTAGAAATAACGATATCGCGATACAATATCGGAAAAATCTGAACGATATTGATACAAAAAATTATATCGTTGCCCAGCACTAGTATAAATCAATATAAAACTAGGAAACGTTATCGGTTTGCCTTGTTTAAATTGGTCGGTGATAGTGTTATTGCCCGCAGGGGGAATATTTATAGACAGCATGTGGGTAATCGCGGAGATACATAGTAGGTACACAATTATAACCAGTTGCGGCGCGTAAACAATTTTATAGGATAGACAACAAGACAACCAAAGATACTGGCGCGGATCCAGTGGTAAGGTCATGGGGGTTACGACCCCCCCCCCCAGAAAACCATCAAGATTAGATCCTTCGTGTTTATTTAAAAACTAAAATATGCATAAAATGAGTTTTTAATTTTTTTTCAATTAGATATTTTCTTGCAATAAAAATGTTATACAACATAATATATTTATATACATTTAAACTTAAACTTGTTCATAAAATCATAATTTCCATCCAACTTCTAAGAATATTAATAGTGATTTTAAACTTACTGATAGACTATAATATTGTTGGTGAATAAATATAAATATAATAGAAAATCTGCAGAAATTTTTGAGTGTTCGACTTTCGACGGAAAGATAACTTATCTTAGATAAGATTACTGTCAATCCGTTGGCTGGTACCGAATTGGTTCCCAAGCTCCAACCTCACGTGCCGAAATGGTTCTCGTCTGAAAAAGGTATTTTATTAGGTATAGCCGAATTGGTTTCCGTTTAATTACACACATTTTCCTTCTCAATTTTACAGACTTAGGACTATCAACTTTAAAGTAGGTTTGGTTAATGTGCGTTAATGTATGTTAAAAAAAAGTAATAAAATAAAAATATATACAATTTTAAATCGTTGATTTGGAAGTTAACTAGTCATCTCACATAGGTGTATGAAATATAAATAATAAAATATAATAAATACATTTTAAAACCACTGATTTGCAAATTTGAAGCTAACTTTCTTTAAATATTTAATTCTTGTAATATTCTCATTAATGTACTCAGTCATACAATTTTCCAAGTATTTGTTATTTCTTTCCTGTTTGCTAGTAATTTGCTAGTCTTTAGTAATCTATATTATATCTATTATATTTCTATACTCTATCTTATCAATATAATAATTGTATCTATATGTCATACATATAGCTTTTAAAATTTTGTTTTTTGCTCTCCATGTACTGGCCCATCTAACCTGTACACAAATGGGAACCAATTTGGCTATACCTAATAAAATACCTTTTTCAAACAGGAACCAATTCGGTTACTCCCATTCCGTTACCCGTATGTTTATATAATATTATAGCATATACATGCTATGGCACCGCTAATCGCTATTTTAGGTTCTAATAACTTGTTAAAAATACTATACATGCGATCATTCTCTACTCTCAGGCGTTTTAAGGCTTCGTTTAAACATGGGAAAGAAACGCTTTGTTCAGTATTCACAAGAATATACACATAAATGTTGATAATATTATTTCTAAATAATAAAATAATAATTTACATAATATTTACATAATTAATTAATATAATTACTAACTTTACAAAATTAAAAATACGCCGCTGTTGATGTACATATATGCATATGTGGATATCAGGGAGGGGCTTAGACCCCCCAAATATTTTAATAGCCCCAAAATCGAAACTTTATTAGAAATTTTATTCGTTATTTTTTTTATTTATTTATAATTATCTGTTCATTTTTTTTTAAAATCGTAAAATAAAAAATAATAGAAAACTATTTACAATAGCATTAACAATACCAATTACATAGTTAGGCTACTTGCGAAAGAAGTTTCAGTGCAATGAAAAAAAATAAAAAACTTGGTTAAGGACATTGTTGGTTCAACATAGGTTCAGCAATTTTTCAATACTATATATTGAAAAATATAAAAATCTATGATATTTTGAGTATCTTTGCTAACACAAATAGTTATTTGTCATTAAAATAAAATATTAATTATTTTTAAATATATGTTATTTAGTGTTTTTTTAATACAATTTATCTATCTTAATATATCTATATTTTTAATGATAATAAGTCTTACTTGTGTATGGGAAGGGGGTGTGGGGGGCGAAGCTCCTGCGGGTTATTTTACATTGAATTATTATAGACACCCCAAGCATTCAACCAAATATCCGCCTATGCATATATATATGTATGTGTTTAATATTTAAAAATAAAATTTATATGAATAAGATATAACATTCGACTTTCCAAGTGGAAAATGAATCTGTTATGAGTAAATGCAGTTTGGACCATACCTAATTTATAATATTTGTAGTTCCTGTATAAATAAATATAGATATGTAGTATTGTATTACAAAATTGAATTATCAATAATTATTTTTTAATTAGTCAATCAATTTAATCTTAATTTGATTATTGCTTATTGGTATATAATTGCTTAGTAAAACTTATCTTTTTAATTGGTTTTTATTTTAATTATATTTGAAGTCATGGTTTACTCTATGTATACTAGTATCGATTATTACATAATCATTATAATTTATACTGAAGATGACCCAATATATTAGAGTAGAGGTTCCCAAACTGTGGGTCGCGATTATATTTTTAGTGGGTCGCGTTGTATTTTTCATGTGTTTCTATTATTAATGGTTGATGTTTAATTATTTAGTTAATTTTATTATAAAATTTTATCTGCGTTTGTAACAGTTACAAATTTATTGCGACCAATAGACATAATAATATTTCTTTATATGTCTATGCTCGACTGTGTCAACACAACGCAATCAAATTAATGATTATTGAAAATATAGCAATATCTTCTTCTTCCTTCAGCTTAACGGTTCTTGAAGGGCCTGAGCTGCCACAAGTAAGTCTCTCCACCTTTCTCTGTTGAGTGCTAATTCAACAGACGCATTCACATCCACCAATTGAACGTCCTTCTCCACAGCATCCTTCCATCACATTCGCGGTCTACCCAGTGGTCGTTTTTTTTTGTATCGTTGTGGTTATGACCTTTTTGAGTATATCATCTTCAGCTCTCCAAATATGTCCAAACCACTCCATTCTCCTAGTTCTTATAAACGTTAATATTGTTGGTTTTCCATACAATTGGTACAAATTTTCGTTTTTCCGCCTTTCGAATGTTCTTAGATCGGGATTGTACACCGGGCCAAAAATTTTTCTCAAAACTTTTCTTTCAAATATTGCCAATTTTTTGTTATCGCCTTTCGTCGTAGACCAAGTCTCACACGCGTAAGTAACTATTGGTCTCAGATAACTGCTATAGAGTAGTGTTTTCGACCTTCTCGACAGCAATTTAGATTTCAATAACTTTTGGATGCTATGGTAGCATCGGTTTCCACTTGCTAACCGTTCAACTATTTCCTGATGCATGTCGTTTTTATTGTTTATGTTCACACCTAGATACTTAAAATTTTCTACACTTTCAAATGTGAAATTATCTATTTGTAGATTAGGCTGATCTTCTCTTCTCCTGGAGAGTACCATACATTTTGTTTTTTCTTCGTTGATACAAAGTCCCATTCTTTTGCTGGCCTTCACGAGGTTAGACATTGTCTGGGTGATATCTTGTCTTGTGTTTCCTAAAATTACAATGTCATCTGCGTACGCCAATATTAATTCTTTATTTACCACCTCAACTTGATGACTATGGTTTATTTCTCGAATCACCATATATATATATAGGTTTGGATTTCAAACATATCTGCAGTTCCTAATTGCAACAAATAAGTTAATATAATCTGTATATTGTGAGGCATAGACAAGGTAAATTCCGACTATTCCTTATTATTTATACTTCATAGTTTTTAGTGTTTATATAGAACCTCCTTAATCTGCTTCCTTTTTTGTTATTGTATTCAATCCCTAAATATTCATATATCTGTTAGGTCAGAATAACCATGGGCGTCGTGAAAAGGGTGCAAGGGATGCATTTGCACTCTTCTGTAGGACAAAGGCTACATTATCATTATCAGATTTTCTAGTAGCTTGCATTACTTTATAGCCGTCGAAATAAAAACGAAAATAATTTTGTATTATCATACAATTTTAAAAAATATTCCGTATTTATATATTATATTTATATTCCGTAAAAAATATATATATAATAAACTGCAATAATTTAAACATTATTTAGAAATCAGCGTATATATTATGCATGCTGCACCTCATTAACGGAATTCCTGGCGGCGCCTGTGGTTATAATTAGTTATAATTTTTTTTGTAGTATATTTCTAATTTTTAATTAATATTTTTTTAAGTAAATAATGTGTAATAATTTTATTTACCTAGAAAACAATTAAAATCAAGAAGATTTTAGTTAATTTATATTTTGTAGAAACTTAACTTATACTTATTTAATTATTATTTGATTTTATTTGATTTTTCATATGTGGCCTATGTATTTATGTTTTTTTTAGGTAATGGAAGCGATGCTGGTGCAGCTTCTACCTTTGCAATTAAAAAAGATCGAAATTGGGTTATCAATGGTACTAAATCCTGGATAACAAATGCACATGAAGCTGAAGCATCAGTTGTATTTGCTACAACTGATAAAGCAAAGAAGCATAAAGGAATTAGTGCATTTTTAGTGAGAAAAGAGTATCCCGGTAAAAAATTATTTGAGTATTAAATTCATTCAAACTGTATATTACATTGACATTGTGTTTTAGGGTTCTCTTTGGGGAAAAAAGAAGATAAACTAGGTATACGAGCTTCATCTACTAGCAATTTAATATTTGATGACTGTTCCATTCCTGAAGAAAATCTTTTGGGGGAACCTGGTATGGGATTTAAAATTGCCATGATGACCTTAGGTAATATACTAGATTTATTTATAGTTGAATATTGTTCTATATAGTATATAATAATTTTAGATGCTGGTCGCATTGGAATTGCTTCACAAGCATTAGGTATAGCACAAGCATCCCTTGATGTTGCTGTAGAATATGCAACCAAGAGAATGGCATTTGGTGCTCCTATATCTAAATTACAAAGTATTCAAGTAATAATATTTTTTATAATTTTTATTATACTCAGTTAATATTTAATTCTTTATCTGTAGAATAAAATTGCTGATATGTCTTTACGTGTAGAGAGTGCAAGATTATTAACATGGAGAGCTGCTGTATTAAAGGACGAACACAAACCATTTACAAAGGTTAATTATTATTTTTTAAATAATAATTTTTTTTTTAATATTTTTTTTTTTTTATAAGGAGGCAGCAATGGCTAAGCTAGCAGCATCGGAGGCGGCAACATTTAATGCACATCAGTGTATTCAAGTATTGGGTGGTATGGGTTATGTTTCTGATATGCCTGCTGAACGCCATTATCGCGATGCTCGAATAACAGAAATTTATGAAGGGACATCTGAAATACAAAAGTTGGTGATTGCTGGAAATGTTTTTAAAGAGTATAGTTCTTAATTTTGTACTTTAAGTATTGTAAAAACTTATTTGAAAGTATACGATACAATTGTTACATTGACTGAATTTTTGTTTTTAAAAACTTGTTTATTTACTAAAGAATAAATACATTATGAAACTATATACATGTATATTTAAAATAATAAAGTATTATGATGATATATTAGCTATTAATTAAATTGTTAGTAATGTGTTATGAGCTTGCATTCAGGAGTTGATTAGATAAAAGCCGCATCCCGAAGTGACAGGAAAACTCTATATTTCGAAATAACATATCACTGACCTTATTCTGTGTTGAATAGTCATAAGAAAATGAACGATAAGGAATTCACACAAAATAGGGGTATATAAGTAGGTTCCAAACAGACCATTAAAACAGATGTCTTAGTCCGGTCTATGCCAGCACCTTCACACCATTTTATGTAATAATTAAATTGAATTTTGAATTATTTGATGAGTTAATAAATATCTGAATTTAGAAATTACTTGTAAGTAAATATTTTAAAGTTGAGAGTTATTTTATTTCACTACATTGATTGAAAAGCTGTGCAATTGATGGTACTAAACTCTTGTTGCACTAGTTTGTACGGTAATCGTGTACGTAATCTGGCACGCAACACAACTGACGCAGTCGGTAATTCTTTTTGAGTTATTCAATTTATAAAAGTTATTGAATAAATAAGAATTATAGAGAATTAACTATTATTGAGAATTATTTGGACTAATATATTAATAGTAGCGAGCCCTTTAACTTTAACCATCAAAATGTTTCTGATGATAAACAGTTGTGGGAGAAATACACTGATTTGGTATTGAATTACACCGAAAACACAACTATGTAAATAATTGTCCGTAAAATCTTGGTTTGTGGTTTATAAGTAATTATACTTTATTTTAGTTAATAACACACACTTATCAGAACCTTAATGAGGTTAATCAAACAATAATTAATAGTTAATTACATTAATCCAATTTAAAAATTTATAATTTGAATTTTGTACCTCTGTGTAACAATAAAATGATAATATCAAAGCAATTAACTCAGAGTTCAATCTTTCTAGGACTTAATCTAATTTAAAATCTATTTAAATTTCAAACATTATTTTTTGTTTATTGATAAATGAGTTATCAATAAATTAATTGTTGATGGATCCTATTACTGGATAGTTTTCCTGCTCACTTATATTTTTAATCTAAATTTATTTATTTATAGCCAATTAGTTTATTGCATTATATTTAAAATTGGATTGTTTTTTTAAATTGTATATAAAACAAAATTTAAATCTGGTGAAATAATTTATTTTTAAAAATTTAGAGATTTTAATATTAATCTAAAATATAATAACCTTTGCCCTATTTTTATTCCTTAAATTGTAATTATTCATTATATTTATATGTAAATAAATAGTATGATTAGTATCTGATTACATTAAATCAATATTATAATAAATTATAGAAACATCTGTAAAACAATTATTAATAGTCTATATCATCAACATTTTTTTTGTTTTAGAGCAGTGGTGGCCAAATTACGGCCCGCCATCATTTAATATCTGGCCCGCGAAAGTCTTCTATATTACAGCACTTATTTGTATAACTGTAATATTTTGCATTTACGTAAAAAAATTTAGAATGCATTTTTTTATGGCCCGCGATAAAAAAAAGTTGTTTTTTATGGCCCGAGGAAAAGAAAGTTTAACCACCACTGTTTTAGAGCTTGAAATAAATTTAAAAATATTTGGTGATACATTTTATTTATTTTACTAATTGCACATACTACTTAAAAATAAAATATTAAATATATCTATAATGTACTTGTTATATTATAATGATCACTTAATTTTCATTATTTATACTTGAAATTAATGAGATACATAATTTATAATTTAATTAAAGAACAAATTATAACATCTACAGTTTATAATTTAATTTTTTAAGTATATTTTTTTAAAAATTCTGATATTTAACTAATACTTTAGTAAAAATCAATCAAGTGTTGTCACATAGAAGTATCACAAAAAGAGAGCATGTATATAATTACTATTATTTTTATTTTAAGTAGCAGTACATGGTTTAAAATTACAATGGAACAGACAGTTACATTTAAGTAAACTACTTATTATTACATTTATTTGTAATTTTTGCCAAAGTCTACTCCCTTCTTAATGTTGGAAGCCAATTCTGGTAACGCTGCTTTTAGCAAATCTTTTTCAAAATCTGATAGATTTCCTATGCCAAAGTTCTTTTCGATTCCATTTTTCTGAGAAAAAAACCAATAAATAAACATGTTAATTACTTTGAATTAAAAATTTATTCCAAATTACAATAATATTAAAATTATTTTACATTTCATATTAGAATTAAAATATTATCTGAAAAATGTTAATATATATATTCATTAATGATTGTAATTGATTATCAGAAGTTATATAGTATATACTAAATTTACCCCAATAAGAACAGGAGTACTAAAGAATGGTGATTCAGTCACTGATGATTCTACGAAAGAGCATTCAACAACATTAGGTTCACCAAGAATTGCTTTACACATGGAAATTGTAAATTTAGCTCCAGCATATGCCATTGATAAAGTAGCTGAACCTGCACCTGCTTTAGCTTGTACAACTTCAGTGCCAGCTTCCTAAAACAAACATAATAATATAAATAAAAACAAATGTAAAATAGTAGCAAGATTATTTTAATAAACAGTTTTTACTTGAATACGTTTAGTAAGTTTTACAAGAATATCATGGTCAAATGTTACTTTTGGTACACATTGAGATATTAAGGGAATTATCGTTGGACCAGAATGTCCACCAATTACAGGGACATTAATTTCAGTGGCATTAAGACCCTAAAAAAATAGAAAAAAAAATAAAATATAAAAAATAGTACATAAGATTAATAAATAAATATATAAAATGTTATACTAAAATAATATACTTTAAGTTCAGCAATGAATCTATTAGATCGGACAATATCTAAAGTAGTTACACCAAATAATCTTTTTGGGTCGTATACATTAAGCTTTTTTAATATTTCTGCAGCAGCTGGTACAGCACTATTCACCTAAAATATTGAAAAATAAACCAATATTGACAAGTATAAATTAAAATTTAAATAATAATAATTTTTTACAGTTTTACATGTTACATAACCTAATAACTAAAACTGATGATTAATATATGATAAAAATAATGAAACAAATGAAGAGCACTTAATGTACCTATAAATTAATAAATTACTTTCATCTAAATAAATTGGTACATATATTTAAACAAAATAAAAAATAGACATCTAATAAAAATATGCACAATATATCTACAAAAATTTACATATACTATCTATATAATATGTATATAAGTACAGACAAATAATTCAGATAGGTAATAATTTCAGTTTCAAAATAAAAATCTTAGAAAAGTAGTACATTTGAAAATACTTCATTATTTAATTATTTTCATTCATTATTCTGCCTTAATGAAACAAAACACCTAACTTGTCTTAACTATTCGGGTGAATTACTACAATTACAAATTAAAAATAATAAATGCAATAATTACAATTATTTTGATGAAGTTAGTAATATAAATGGTTAAATGTTGTGAAATAATAACAAAATAATCAAGTAATGAGGGAGCATTCAAGTACAACATAAGTAGACCAAAGAGGGAGGAGCTAATCCTAGGAAAATCTTAAATCTGATCCGTTCCATGAAAATAGCAAATATTGATGAATTACTGATCTTATTGAAGATGTGCCATCTACTGTGTGATTTAAGAGTTATGTAAAGTTTGTAAATTGTCGAAAAACTAAGCATAGTCTTCTCACCTATCCATCATTATAACCCCACTACAGTGGTGTGTTGAAGCAATTTTTGGAGAAATTAGAAGACTTAGTTGAATTTTTAGATTATGGAAATAATATTACATATTTAAAGAAATTATAAACAATTTTTATATTTATTTTGATTACAGAAATTTATTTTAATAATTGCAGAAATTCATTTTTATTTATAAGAATATAATAATTTAAAAATTTATGAAAAAACTATAGATATAGGTAGTCAATGTCTGATGTACGCAGACATAGGGGAGAAAGGAATCAAAAATTCTAAAAAGCCTGCCCATGTAATATTGATAAATAATATTAATATTTAATATTTGAATATTTCTTTAGACGTTATCAATTTAATTAATTTTTTTTTAAATTTTTTTGATTGGTTAGAAATTTTAGTATTAAAGATATTAAAAAGTGATTATCCTAAATTTGAAAATATATCATAATAATGAAATTATGTCATTTGCTTATTTTTTGGTACTCAATTGTATTTGATTTATATTAAATATTCAACTGAATTAATGACTTTTTTCATCAGACTTAAATTGTTATGGTCATTATCTCACAAGAGATCAATAAATTATTAAATTATTATAAATTAATTTTAATATCTGTAAAAAACTTGGTGGTTCATATGAAACTTTGTTGAAGATTGTAAGATAACATAATTTTTTTTTTTAACCAACAGTATAGAAGATGGTGCCTCAGCAAAACAATTTCCAAGCATAAAATAATCTAACATAGTTCAACTAAGTATTTCGATAGTATCAGTACATCAAAAAAAAAAAGAAAAAAAAAGTAATTTAAATAATATATTAACTTCTTCCAAATTAATTGGAATAGTTTTATGGAATTCTTGAATTCTTGCACATGTACTGTCAAAAGTTAAAATTACAACATTTTTTTGTTTGTTAAACAACAATAATACTATTATAATTTACTGTTATCTAAAATTACAATAATACATAACACATGATGAATAACATTTATAAATTAATTAATATTTATCAACTAAATAAATAAAATTTGTTGATTATTATGAATATTTTATTTTGATAAATGTGTATTTATTTATCAACACTAGGAATATTGAACTAACAATTCTTCACTTACGCAAAAAAAGTATAAGAGTGTAGGTTGTTTAATTATTTAGAAAAATATTTTGTAATTTTTATTCTAAAGTGTTTTACATTCAATTTATTGACAGAGTTGGATCAAAATGTCTTTAAATTTGTAAGTTTTCATTTATAAATTATTATTAAAATATAATACTTATAGAATTGTACATTTAAAATTAAAGAAGTAATAAAATGTTAGCATTTAACATATAATAAAAATATTATTATTGCTTTATTACATCTTTAGATAGAATTAAGTTAAAAAGAATAAGTGATCCTATCATTATATTTTATTAGTACATAGTCAAGGATTTTTAAATTTTTTAGCAGTTATAAAGGATTGAAAATATAAATCTAATTAATAAAGCAATTTAGAAAAAAATTAATTTCATAATTAATAAATTATAATAAATTATTATAAAATGTTAACATTAACTGAAAATGTTATAATCTAACCACCATCTCTTACACTTTTATATTTTAAATGTAAAACATATACTCACATTTTTAAAAATATTATAATAATATATTTATAAGAAATAACATTATAGAAAGCCCAGATTTATATTTTTTAGTATATTATACATAAAGAAATATCTTAAATTTTATTTAGAATAAAATTAAATAGTATTACTTAAGAATTTGATTTAGAAATGTATCAATTGCACCACCATTGATAAAAATGCACAAAAATAGTACAAGAAAAAATTATGATTATAAATATGGTCAGAAAAATATTTTTAATAAAATAGAAGAACATTTCAAAGTAAGTGGTAGAATTCAAACCCTAAAAACAAAATAAAATAATGAGAACACACGGCAAAATTTAATTGATGTTAAATACTATAGATTATTAGAGTGGAAAAAGTATACAACCCCCAACTTTATGGAATGTATTTGTTATGTAAAGAAGAATTACAAACAAGGAACATATTTGATGTAAGGGAACTTATTTTATACCACGCAACTTCATCAGAAAACGCAATTGAAATTTCAAAAAATAATATTGATTGGCGTGTAACTTCAAGGGCAAAATATGGTTATGGTGCTTGTTTTTCAACATCACCAAAGTATGCAAATAAATATTCAAGAGCTCAAGGAGGTATATCATAATAGTTTTTTATTTACATTTTTCATTTATAATAAATTATTGAATGGTTTTTTTTTTTTTTTTTACAGCATTAATAATTTTTAAGGTACTAGTGAAGAAAGAAGAAAGAGTAGATTTTAATTGTGGTTTAACAGTACCACAGAGTATAAATAATGATACAGTTGTAAGTTATAATTCATTAGTTTATGTTAAATTTGATGATTATTATTTTTATCCAAAATATATAGTTTATTACTATTAATAAGTGTAAAAGTTAATAAATTTAAAGATAATAGATTTTTATTTTTAGTTAGATATATATATCGACTAATTTATGTTTCATTAATAACTAATTGAAAACCATTTCACTAGTTTTATATTCCTTTTTAACTTCACCAAAACATTTTAGTTTTGAAAATTAATTTTTGATTCAAATATATTATATTCTATAAAACATAATAACAAAGGGCCTGTATATATATATATTCATGTGTATGAAATTGTGTAATAGTATTATCTGGTAAAATAAAAATAAAGTTTGAAATTATTATTATTATTTTATTTGTTCCTTATGTAACTATATAAGGTTCTTTCTCAAAATATTCCACACATCAATTCAAGATTGTGTTAAAAATATCCCATTTATTTTATTCTTTTTTTAAAATAATTCTAATTATTTTGTTCATTAAACTATTGATTTATATTAAAATTAAATATTTTACAGTATAACTTTTAAATAAGTAAGAGCCAAATAAATTTATAATCACTGGATCTGTGTAAACTGTGTATATGTATTTACTATACTCTTAGAAGTTTTATTTGGCTTTTTGGCTATTTATAAAAACTAAATTCAGCATTTTTTTAATTTTAATGAAAAAAATAACAGAATTGAAACGAACCATGTTTTCAAACAGCATAACATGCAAGTTAATATATACCTTAAATTTATACAAACCAACTGGGTTGGCCGATATTATTATTACCACGATAATATTTGATCAAAGATCGTACTTCTACATTTTATTACTTCAATTTAAAAATCAAAAGTACACTTGCAGTATAATATAATATCATAATCTCTTTACCGTAGTATTTAATTTATACCATTATACGGTATATAATTAAGATTAAGAAATAATATTATTATTATGATTGACTAGTTGGATTTATGATATCTATGAAATGTCATATCTTATATATTAAATAATTTGATATATACACATATAAGATATAAATTATATGAAAAAAAGTATAGATAGTGATTTGAATATGCAATAAATCACTTATTTATTAATTAAAATTAAAAAGGGCAAAACTCTCGGCTTGGGAATTATTTTGAATAAGGGATATTTTTTTAATACGGGATATTTTGAGAGCGCATGACTTTATAATAGGCAGTGTTTTTTTCAGATATTCTATCCCGGAGGTATCATACATTTTTTGAGGAGGGAGGGATATGGTATGTGTTATGCCATAGAAGTAAATAATTAATAAATAAATATTTCTAGGGGTATACAATTAACTTAAGGGGTAAGCTCCTGAAACACTGATAACAAGTTAATTACTTTTACTAGATTTATAAAATTTAGAAGTTGATAAAGAATTATTTATAGAGCATAACCTACCATTTGTTGGACAAATATGAATTTTTATACTACAAATTAACAAATTACACTCACTGGTCAATAGATAAAAGATAAGTGTTTTTTTTTCAAAACACTGTAGTATGAGTATTATTTAAGACCAATAAATAATTTACTGTTAAAACCTACTGTATAATGTATATTAAATAATTAATATAACCAAGATAGGTACTTACCGGATTTGATATAATGCCAACAAGTGCATTTGGACTAACTTGTCCAATAACTTTAATAATATCGCACACAATTGAAATATTAGTATTGAACAAATCATCTCGAGTCATACCAGGTTTACGAGGAATTCCTGCTGGAATAATAACTACATCTGTATTAACTACAGCATCCTAAAAAATAAAAACATAAATTGTTATAATGACTACCAACTTTAATTATGATATTCATAAAAAAAAAAAAAAATTATTTTTTTCTTCATTACTACTAATAATACAATTAAGTACTAGTAGAAAAATAATATAATATAACCTAACCTGGTAGACAATATAAATAATCTTATCTTTATCTTATATTTAACAGATCATCAATAGTTAATTTAACTAAAATATTTTATTTAAATATTAATACCAAACTAATACAATTTAGTCAGTGAAATAATTGGCAGTCAAAAGATTTCCTTGAAACAAATAATAATAAATTATTTTTAGAATACTAAAAAATTTGTAACTGCCAAGAAAAATGAACGAATTGGCATTAATATATGAATATAACTAGGGGGGTCATTGTGTTATTTATATATTACACAGTCTTTCAGTTAAATAATTAATTTAATTAATAATATTAAGTATTACATTTTATATAAATAAACTAGACTTAATATATTTTTACAAATATTAAATAAAAATCATTATTTATTAACATTTATATGGATTTAAAATAAAAGATAACAAATCTACAGTTAGTTCTGTTAAAAATTAGTTAATCGGCATAATTTATTTTAGTGATGAATGTTAAATTCTAAATTTATTATAATTATTTTTTAGAAAATATATATTTTTACTATAATATAATATTATATAATAATATACTATAATATTATAGATATAATAGATAAATATTATATATTATTATTATAATATATAATGGACTAGATTTTAAAAATATTAAAATAAAAAAAAAAATGTATGGTTTTATTTCAATTGTAAATTAGTGAACATATTTTGTAAAAATTAACATTTATGATTGAGTATTGAAAATATTCTACAAGTGAATAGTTAAATATGTATTTAACTATTTTATAATTACAATAGAAACATAATTAACCATCATTCATTTAATTATCTCTGTTATCTGTGATCTTGTAAATAATGCAGCAACTATGTATAATACATTATCAAGAATAGAAAAATAACTAGAACTTCAATGAAATGAAAGAAGATGACCAATTAGTTTGTATAGTATGTATATGTATATACTTCATTAGGTATCTAACATTTATCGCATAATTTCTGTTAACAGCCATAGTCCTAGTCTTCACAGAGGCAATTAATTGAGTTGCTACTGTATTTTGAATTTGAACTTTGAAAAAATATAATTATTCAAAGTAGTGTATTTATATATTAATCTAATATATATCTAATATACACACACATACACACAAAAATATTTATATTTTTATGATTCTTAAAATTATTGATAAATTAGAAAAAATTTAAAAATATATTCAATTTCTAATATCTACATTTTACGATCAACGTGAAAAAATTAGACACTGATAACTGCTAAAATGTAACAAAGTGATTTGAAGATGTAGCACAGACCAGATAAAAAAAGTAAGCGAGCTACTAGTTGCTTATCCCTGATCTATACTAATATTTCTCAACTAGGGAATTGCAAATCCCTAGATGAGAGATTGTATCGGTCAGAAATAATTAAACGCTGATATAGAAAAACAACCTTTTAATATTAAAAATAAAATATAAATACATAACCATAATGATAAAAATAAAAAAGTTAGTTTATAATATAATTACACCATAAACTAAGAATAATAAAATAAAATGTATAAATTAATGTGACATTTTTGATTGTTTAATATTCAAAACTAGAAGTAGTGAATGGAACCAATGTTTACTCGTAAGTCAGTTATTTATTTCGTTAATGGTTAGTGATAGTTATATATTTTTAATTGGTAAATTAATTGCTTAAATTAATTTTTAATAAAATGAGGTTGGGGGTGTGAGATGATTGATTTTATTTTATTTACCAATTTGGAAAGTTGCTATATTAAAATGGTTGAAAAACATGACTCTATACAACTATTAGATATTCAATTTACAGTAATAAATAAATAAATTTAAGTAATTTTTAAATAATTACTAACAATTATTAGTAATAATAAACTCAAATTTTAAAACAAATATATATTTAAATTATTTGAATTTTTTATGTAGCTAATTTATATTCACAAACATTTGATTTTGTTGGATATCTTAAATTTAAGATGTAATTAAATTCTCAGAATTTGAATAAATATGAAATTTTAACTTCAGAGTGGGACAGGAATGCTTAAAATATTATATAGTATGTATTATAATTCCAATAGTTTTAAATAATTTAGTAGAACTATTCATTTATAACTTTTTTTTTTTTTTTTTTATAGTTTACAAATCTAAATTAAACATAAAACAAAATTCATACTTTTAAGCAATCCAAGCCAACATGACTGGTTACATTTGAATTGGTGTCCATGTGGCTTAAATCAGCAACAACACCTGGAGTTACTGGAGCAATATCATAAATAGCTAAATCAGTGATGATTGGACTTTGTTTCAGTAGCAACGACAATGGTTGTCCAATACCGCCTGAGCCGCCACATACTGTTACTTTTAATCCTTTCTATAAATATTGCAAAAACAATTTTTTTTTTAAATAAATAAATACATTTGTTAAGTTTATTAATAAACAGATAATAAAAACTATTTAGGTGGTAGAAATTATTTTTTATTATTTTAAATAAAAGTCATCTTGGTTTCAAAAAATAATATTTAAGATTTACAACTAGGGTCATCAAGCAATATAAAACACTTAAAGTTATTAAATTTATATGCAAATTACATCACTTATATTAATACTTTTGTAAGTTAAGACAATTTGATACAATTATTAGGTATGCATTTTAACTAATAAGTTTATATACTTAACTCTAAAAATGGTAACAAAATATATTTTAAAGTTTGTAATTTCACACACTTAAAAGATATTTTATACAATATACAATATTTAACTCCATGCATTTTCAACAAAAATGTTGTTCTAATTTAGCACTTATATATAAAAATATTTATTTAAACTTCTAAATAACAATGTAATTAATTGATAATTTACATACATAATAAAATAAATAGGTATAAAATAAAAAAACATTCTCATATTAATACTTGTTCATATTAGTAATAGAACACTTGAAATTGCAGGGTCCTGTATAAGGGCATATTTTGTAGTGTCTTCTATATATCAGGCCAAGATAGTGAGGTTAAATCAGAATAATTGTCATACTTATAGAATGGATCCTATTCTAAAATTCTAACACATGTAATCATGAGGAATAAAAAGTCGAAAAAACCCATTTGATAAATATTGAATCTAGTGGTTTTTATCATACAATCTACTTGCCTAAGATTTAATAGTATTATCGTGAAAAGTAATTTTTATTACCTTAGATGAATACTGTCGACTCCCTTGGTTGATGATGTTCTTAAATACTTTGGAAAACATTTTTGTGGGTGAAATGATAAAAAAGACAATTTGAAATGTAAGTATTCTACTATGGCAACTGTAAAAAAAAGATTATTAATTAACACGCCCGGTGAGGTAGGTAACGGTCAGAGTAGTATCTATATTCTATGGGAGACCTACCGTAGACGTCAGCTGGTTAGCGAAAGAAAACGAAAAAAGGTTGAAAACACAGTATGCTGAGTCGTCAACCAAAATGGTCGGCTTTAATCTTATCTTCGCGATGACGATACGATTGTATAGACCGCTCTCTGGTTAACAAATTTTTTTCCCACTGTTGGCCAATGCCAATGCCATGCGCAAGGTGGATTCACCACGACCATGTGTGTTTGACCGTCAAACGCGGTTCGTTATGGACGTCCAATTATTATGAAATAAATTATTCGATACTGTTCGCAATCGATTTGATTGTTTATCGTCTATAGTTACATAATAGAAGCGTGAAATATTTTTTACCAAACAAATATCGCAGTTCACCTCAGTAGCGCCAAGTCATTTAAAATTTTAAACCAAAACGATATTATTAATTTCTAATCCTGACACACATCTTTTTTTGAAAAAGCATATCACTCGAAAATATTAAAGTACAATTGTCCTAGTGCTTTATTTATATATTTATAGGTTTTGGCGCTTTTGTTTCACCTAAACTATCTCCTTGAATTGTGACTGATCCCCAATATAAAACTTAAATCATGGTGCATCCATTCGTATTTAATACTATTTATAATTAATCATATATTTAAATAATGAATTAAATATATAATGTAGTACATCTATTCAATGGCGTATTTTGTCCTCTGAACACCCATCGGCTTAAAATAAAAAACTAATATATTGGTATTATTGCTTAAGATGGAAAATTATTATAATTATAATGTATGACAGGTTTCGAATTAAAATATCATCATCAAGTACATACAAAGTCAATAAAATCGCAACTAAAACATTTATTTATTTATATATATGTATATGAACTATTTATTTATATATAAAAGTATATTATTGTCAATTTATTTCTGGTAGATTAGTTATGACTACGTTTGTACATTTTAAGTGTTTCCGGCTATTCACATGACCACACACCCTAACATTTCTCTGTTTACTCCAAATTGCGCCTTTGTTCTAGTTATTTTTGATTATATTTAAAATTATACCTATAGATAACTGCAAATTGTTAATAGAGCTGTTATCATGGATATTGATACTTTATATTAATAAATGTATCTATATAATTCATATTGTCACTGCAATCATATTATTTATTTTGGTTAATTTGATTAAAATCATTACATTATTAAGACCAACCCCGGTACATATTTTTTTTTATAATGTTAAGGTTTAACTTATTTAATATGAGACAAAATTTTAAAATCATAATATTTAACAAATATTCAGTATTTTATTTTTGCCATCTGTTAGAAAAAAAAAATTGTATTTTACATTGTTTGTACAAAATAGTATAGTTTCTCAGTAATTACATATTTACTACTGTTACGTAATCACAAGTGTGAAGTAACACGTGGCATTAGTGTTTAATCAATGCACATGTTCATATTTTATTAGCATTATGTGGTACTCGTATTCATATTTTGTATAACCATTCATTTGAAAACAATTTTAAAAATAAAAAACATACTGGTTAGCAAATTTTAAATTTGAATGTATATTTATTTTACATATATTCCGGTGAATCATGCATTTTTGTCTTTATTATTTTTTATTTTTTTCAAACAAATAATTAGTTTTATACATTATTAAAACTATTGTTTCTTTATATAATATTTAACGTATTCATCATAGTATTATATGATTTTATTCTTTTTATAAAATATTAAAATATTTTCTACCTCAGTAATTTTTATTTTTTATTTCTTACCTAACTGTAATAATATTATAAAGAAAATGATATATGCAAACATATTAAAATTTAATAAGTTTTATTATAATATGTCTTATGATTATTACTAGTTCTGTACTTGTTAAATATACATACTGACGGACCACATTTTAAATTGATGTTAACTATCTGTTTTAATTTCTAGACATGGGCGAATAGGTATTTTTATTTACTGGGATATATTTAATAGGGACACATATCATAAGGTCTACAAATTCATAAAAAAAAATCACTCTCTACGCTCGTAATTTTATTTCAATCAAATGACAGAAATACTTAAGATTATATAAGCTATACCTATAGTACTAACTAAATAAAAAAAACACATACTTAATAGTTAAATTGAAAATAGTTTATTAAATGTACTACTCCTCAGAGTCGCATTTAGGGGGGAGGGGCACTAGCTACAACTGCCCCGTACGCCAGTTTTTTGGGGCGCCAAAATTTTGTGGTTAGAAAAATTTCAATTACAACAACACGTTGATACTGCTTTACATAATAGTGCTCTAAAACGTAGAGGAAATGAAAACGAAAAATAATTATTTGTATTGGATGCAAAACCGAAATTTGGTAACGTTTTTAATGAGGATCTTTCTGCAGCTTTGGTAGTATCTAATATACCTAGGAATAAACTTCAAATTCCCGAATTCAAGAACTTTTTGAAGAAGTATACAGGTAAACATATTCCTGACGAGTGTACATTAAGGAAAAATTATCTTGGTCCATGTTATGATAATGTTATTATTGCAATCAGAGAAGTTATTGGTAGCGCCGTCGTTAGGTTTTGCGAGGCTCTGGTAAAATCTTTAGAACTGACCACAATTACGTTTAATAAATTGTTTACTAATCAATTAAAATTAAAATTTATACTTTTATTTTTATATGCGAATCAAATATTTAAGAATTAATTTCTAAAAACTATTAAATATTTTTAGCTTACATTGTTTAGTATCTAATAGACTAATATTATAAATATTGATGAATCAAAAATAATTACATTTACAAATGATAATATTATATACTCGTAATTTAAATATAGATATTCCTTTATTTTTTCAAATTTCAAAAGTAAAACAAATATAAAAATATATAAATTAAAATTATTTTTTTCTTGCTTTTTGAGCTGCAAGAGTCTATAAAATCATCCATGTTAATTCAATCGGCAATATCATTTTCAATAGCAATCAGTACCAAATTTGTCAACTTGTACTGAGATAAACTATTCCGTAAATAATTCTTAATTATTTTAAGTTTTGAAAAAACTTCGTTCGGCCCCTGCTGAAGTCCCAGATATAGTAAGTAATATACGAAGCGCGATTTCAGTATTCGGAAATGAATATTTTTTTCTTGAGCAACGACAGTGTTTGCAAAGCTGTTAGGTTTTCCTCCACCATTTTACGGACTGTTAGAATTTCTTGAAATAAATCAATAGCTTCTATATCTTCTAGTTTTCTTCGCCATCAATAACATCAGTTAATGCAATTTGAAAGTCTTGGCAGCATTTACGAATTTCGTCATCGGGCATATTTTTTAGTTTTCCAAAGTTGAACAAAAAACCAAAGTTGTTATTATATGTTTGTAAATGATCAAAACGATTTATTATTGATACTATTATTGAATCTAATACCAAAATAAAGAATTCTGTTCGAAAAAGTTCTTTTGGATCAACAGATATTGCATCACTGCATTCATAATCAAAATTTCTTTTTTTTTTATGTCGTTTAATTTTAAAAACCGGCTCAGTATCAACTGAAACTGCAAGTTCTTTTGCTAAATTTTCAGTTTTTTGAAAACCATATTTTCTGTATTTTTTTCAAAAATATGATTAATCCTTTTAACATGCATACAGATATGCCAATTTGCATTTTTGGATCTTGAAGTTGTTTACTTATTATATTAACCTTTGAAAGAAAGTCGTACCAAATAATTAAATAAATTATAAACTCAAAACTTCTCACCTCGTTATATAATGACTGGGCCTCACTTTTGGCAATGGGTTCGTCAGTTATATCAACAATATCATCTAAGGAATTTATAATAATATTAATATTATATAATTTGTTTTAATTGAAATCGTAATGCTTTGACGCTGCTTAAGCGACTCTCCCATCTTGTTTCTGACCACTTTTTTTACACTGTATAAATCACAATGAGTTTTTAATACATTCCAGCGTTGAGTAAATGCCGTAAAAAAGTTATAAATTTCTTTTCGCGAAGCCAAAAAAATGTTACTGCTCTTGTTGAGACTCTTACTGAATTTTGAAGAACCAATTTCAAATTATGAGCAGCACATGGGGTGAAAAAAGCGTGGGGATTATTTTTTCAGTATTCTTGCTTGGACTCCCTTATACTGACCAACCATATTGGCCCCATTGTCATACGCTTGGCCTCTACAGTTGGAAAATTGTAAACCATTTTCAGATAACTTTAATAAGAACACTTGATAGATTTAATCCAGTAGTCGATTTAACTTCAATAAAATTTAAAAAATATTCCTTAATATAATATTAATATATAATATATAATTAATATTCCTTAATCATCTGAGTCCATGATAACTGTTCGAATAACTATAGAAACTTGTTCTTTATGGCTAATGTCAGGCGTAGAATTCATAATTACTGCATAATATTTAGATTGTTGAATTTTATTTAAAATAATTTCTTTTTTTTTTAAAGCTAGCATGTTGATAATTTCATCTTGAATTTGAGGTCCAAAGTAATGAACGTATGTTTCATTATTTTTAATCCTATTCACATAGTCAATTATTATTGGATCGAATTTAGCAAGCATTTCAATTCTACCTAAACATTTTCCATTGTTTTTAGTGTAAATAACATCGGAACTGCCACGAAAAACATCAGAATGCTTTGCTAAGAAACTAATAGCTGAAATGATTCTTTTTAAAACTGCTCGCCAATGTTGTTTTTCTTTTTCAAAAATCTGTGATTGTAATTTGTCAATTTTATTCAATAAAATGTACGTTTTTTTTAATTAATACCATTTGGTGATACATTAGTAGTGACATTTAGAAACTTCGTGAGATTTAAGTGTTTCAAGTAGATGTTTCCAGTCATCAAAACCTATATTTACAATATTTGATTTCGAACTTTACTCAAGATTAAATAATTTACATGGAAAACAATATACGCAATCGGCAGACAACGAATAAACTAACCAATTTTTGTCTACTTTTTCACCATTAGGTATTATTCTGCAATAATATTTTTCAGAAAACTTTCTATTATTATCATGTGATTTTACGGGAAAATTGATATTAGTTATTTTAATAGGACCTATTTCTAAAATTGCCTGTTTGATATTGGATGTCATGATT